ATCTAGTCACTCTAGTCTCACTAGTCTCAGACTTTATTCTACCCCTGTGGTATAAGATTAAGGCTTTAATGACTTCCAAAAGACCAGGTCATTTCCTCTCTGTACTTCCTGGTGCTCTGAGCAGTGTGCGTTGGACTTGGACTTTCCCCGCAGCACTTACTCTGCTTGGCCCCAGCTGGAATATTCCCAGGGGAGAAGGCCTCCACGAGTAAGAGTAAAAGCCAAAGACTTGGAGCTCTCAGACAGAGCCAACCATCAGGCTGTGGCCCTGATCTAATCTGTGCCGGGCAAGAAAACCCAGCAGGGTCCCTTCTCTCACCTGGTTCCAACATCTTATGGGTCATCTCCTGTAGTGATGTCACTTCCTGCTCCTCAGGGGCGTGGATGACCAGCAGGATGCTCCCCAACACACAGAGCAAACAGCCAAGTTTCCCAACCACATTGAGTACCTCCCCCAACAGGTAGGAGGAGAGAAGTGCACTGAAAGGTAGAAAATGAAATAAAATCACCGTGACAAAGAGACGAGACGATACAGGAGCAACAATACGACGTATTGTCATATATTGCAAATACTACAGTCACTGTGTAATTGATTTTTTCGACCTTTGACCTCCATGACTTTCGGGGTTTTTGTGCCTGACCTCCGACCTCTGAACTCACCTGATGATGACGCTCAGAGCGCCGAGCGGGGTCACCAGTGTGGCCGGGGCAAACATGTAGGCCACAAAGTTACAGACCTCTCCTGCCCCCACTGCACACACACACACACACACACACACACACACGGAGGATATTTTCAAAATAAAGTCTCACAATTTTTACTAATTCCTCAGATCATAAAAGTCTTACTTGTTAACAGCCCCCCCCACCACAGCCAGTCCTTCAGGTAACCGTGACCTCCATCACCTACACACACACACACACACACACACACACAGTCGACATCACAGCTATCACAGCCATGAGAGCGCCCCCTGTTGCTAGAAACAACCGGGCCCCTCAGGCCGACCCAGTTAGCGTCTCTGATGTCATTCACATTTCAGCCAGTCACGTTCATCTACAGAAGAACTCACCTGCTCGGGTCTGACCGGCACTAGCCAATCGGAGGAGAGCTTTCTTCTTCAAAATGACACTGGAACCAATCAGAAAGGCCGACAGTACGGCCAGAGTCAGACCGGACCAGTGGTTGTAGGAGGCGTTGACAACTGGAGACAAACCACAGACGGTCAGAGAGTGTGTGTGTGTGTGTGTGTGTGTGAGAGAGAGAGAGAGAGAGAGAGGTTTGAACCTGTCATGTGACTGCTGTCGTTCAGGTGTGCGTCCACTTCTGTTCCATTTCCAGTGATCAGACACAGAACTGCAGAACCAGAGCGGCACCACAGCTTCACCAGAGAACCTGAAACAGAACCAGAACCAGAACCAGCTCCTCCTTCACTGATGTTCAGGACTTTTTGTAATTCTAAAATATATCTTTTACTCAGGGTTCTAAGAAAATCTCCATCCACTGAAGTCTCTCCTGATCCCAGATCAATCTCCTCAGTCATTGATCAGTTATTGATTTCTTTCTCCCCAATTCCCAGTCCAATATTCCTGGTGTTGGTTCATGTTCTTGTTCTTTTCTTTTTCTCTAAAGTGCAGTGACGACAGCTGCACTTTACACAACTTAGTCAGGAATTTCAGCTGTGACAAAAAGATGAAGAAAAAGTAGTTCCCGAAAAGTTCATTGTTTGATTTGTTCACTGGACTTTCTGGTTGAACCACTGCTCTGTTTACACTGTCAACACTGAGGTCTGTGTGTGTGTGTGTGTGTGTGTGTGTGTGTGTGTGTGCACAGACAGACACAGTCACAGAAAACACTGTTTGTTTTTCTAAATGCTCTGAGAACGAACGCTGATCAAAAAGTTCAAACTCAGCCAAACATGGATGTGAGCTTTTCTTCCTCCCACCGTTGATGACATCACTAAACGTGTCACATGTTTCATCTCAGGGACTTTTATTTCATTAAAAATATAATTTATTATTAAAAACATTAAAAAAAACATTTCCAAACAAATATAATAAAATTAACGTTTACAGTTTTAAATGAAATATTTTTAATTGAATTGAAAAAGAAATTTCAATTGTATTTAAAATAAAACTAAACAAAGAAGTCATTGTAAATCAATGCACAACATTTTAATAAAATAAAATAAATAAAAATAACGCGGACCAACTCGTGTAAGTCATTGTAAATCAATGCACAACTTTTTAATAAAATAAAAATAACGCGGACCAACTCGTGAAGAAATTAAGAAAATAATAAGTAAAAAACCTTCAGTTCAACAAACCAAATTAGACACTAACTCGAGGACAACAGTTACAGACGTAATCTGCTAAGACAATAACGATTTACGGCAGAACTCATTATTACTTCGTTTATTTTAAATAAAATGTTTTTGAAATAAAAGCCCAGCGTCTTCTCTTCACCAACGTTATCTTTGACTTTCTAGTTCCTTCTAAAATGTGACGTAACTTTAATTGAAGAAACAAAAAAGTAAAAATAAAATCGAAAAGATTATTTTTTTCTTACCCACGTCGCAGGTGTTGTTCGTTGGGTGAACGTCTCTCATGGTGACGTAAAATCGTGGTTTCTTTAAAACTAAAACTTTTAATTAAAAATAAAACTAGTTTTCTTTTATCTAATTTACGTCCGTGTTTCATGGGAACAAAAAACAGGTCAACAACACCGCTGCTGCTGCTGCTGCTGCTGCTTCTTTACAGTCAGTGTAGCGGACAACTGGAGCCGGAAGTGACGCACAGAGGAGCAACAGGTAAACACGGCAACAATAGACCACGCCTCCACAGGTGACACAGACTATCCTGCCCCCAAATTTTATTTTATTTTATTTTATTTTATAAAAGATAATGTATTATTTATTTTTACTTTTTTTAGTCTAAAGCTCATCTCAGTCGAGTTATTAAACTATTCAAAATAATTGAACCTGTGACAAAACACAAATTCATTTTTGATTTAAGGCCAGATTGTAGATTTTAGTTTTATTTTGAAGCTGATGACGTCAGAGGTGTTCCGCTTCACATACCACTGAGTGCTCAGTACATTAGTGTCCAGCAGAGGGCAGTGTCATATCAAAAAACACACCAAGAGACTTTTTTTTTTTTTACTCATTCAGAAAAGTTTATTTTCTAGCAAAAATAATTTGCTTCATTTTTCTCAGCACTTCGGCACTTTCCGTCAGCAGTGTCGGTCATTTCCGGGGCCGGACGGGGGCAGACGTTGGGCAACCGAGTCCCACGGGACCAGGCCTCTCAGTTGCAGTAGTTCTGCAGATCGGGGACGCTGCAGCGGTTGTGGCAGCACTGTTCCACGATGCCTCGCTTCACCAACATCTCCATCTGGTCCTTGAAGGCATATTCAGCCACCTCGTTGTCGCCACCTGCCGTGGCTCCGCCCACTTTAGGAGCAAGGAAACCTGGAAGGATGACGTCATGATGAGCGCCCTCAAAAACCTGAACCTCAACCGCAATTGTAACGTGTTTGGCTTTGAATGCTTTACTGTGTTGCATTCAAAGGCCTGCAGGTGTCGCTCTTACCCAGCAGAGGCTCCACGTCTCTCTTGGGGTTGTAGAAGAAGCCTCTGTCCCCACAGACCAGGTAGAGGGCATCGACCAGGTGAGAGCCGCACAGGTGCTGAGCCACAGGCTGAGAGCCCGACAACGACACGGCCACTAGGAGGAGCAGAGAGACAGTCTGGAGCCACAGCGCCGCCATGTTTGGAAAGCTGCAATTACACACAAACACACATTCATTTAGGCTTGAAGTTTAGTGTGAAGGTGGAGCTCATTCACACACTGATCGGAACGATTTAAAGGAATATTCTACCAAACTATTGTGATCCACTACTGCCCCCCGTGGTCAGTTTGTGTCATTGGAAAAATCTCAAATATGTATATTTATGGAACAAGCTTTAGAAAAATAAATAAAACAAACAAAAAAAATTCTTCATCAAGGAAACAACTTCATCAACCAGCTGACGACGCTCGCCCCGGGCGTCTGGACGAGAGGAACCCAGAGCAGGTGAAGACTGGACCGGGGCGGTGCTGGTGGTCTCTGGTCTCTGGTCTCTGGTCTCTGCCAAAACTGAAGGTCACTGAAAAGGAGTGAGAAAAAGAAAGGAGGCGTCGGGTGAAGGAGCGGAGTTACCTGAAGAGCTGAAGGAGGTGAGTCTACGACGACAAGGAGGAGCAGAAGGAGCTGAGAGGAGGTTGGTGTGAGGAAGAGCTGAGGGTCTGCTCTGGATTTATACAGAATCACCCCCCCCCCCCCCCCCCCCACAACCCCCCCCCCTCCCCCCCACTGATTGACTTGAATCACTTAGTAAAACACACAGAGCTGATGAGGCGTCATGATCTGATCAGCACTCAGAGGAGGATCGTCAGTCAGGTGGAAATCTGCTGAGTCCACGGACCACCGGGGGCGGGGGGGCTGAGGGTCCACGGACCACCGGGGGGGGGGAGGGTCCACGGACCACCG